ATTTTAAACGAATATTTTCTTGTATATTTGCCCGAAAACGACAAAACACAAATAAAAGAAAATAAAAAATACAATGCCATCAAATCGTGCTTATCATCACACGTTTCAAGAACACGTTTATTATTTATCTCTTACCTATGCCGAACAATTTTTGATAAATTTTTAACTTTATTTCAAAAAACTGGTCCAATGATTCATTTATTATATGAAGAATTATCGAATTTATACCGTTCCGTTTTGCTGACGTTCCTAACATCTGAATATATCGGAAATAAGCAAGGTAGTGAACTATTATTGATTGATCACAAATTACCTGAAAAACAAATGAACGATAAACAATTACGAATTGTTGAGTAACAAATAAAGCTTATAAAATCGTTTATTCCTCTTACGTTTAGGTGAAGAAACACGAAAGTCATTAGCATTACTATCTAAAGACAAAAAAGAAACGTTTTTTCGAGATGTAAGAAATATTTTTCAATCAATTGCTTCATATTTGAAATCGAATCTTCCATTGAACAACTCATTTTTACGTGATTTAAAAATACTTGGACCTTCTTATCGTTCGGATCCTCAAGCTATTGATGCTATTGTTCGTATCGGTCGATTTATACCTGGTTTATTATCGTCAAATGAAATTGATCTTCTTAATGATGAATGGTTAATGTATTCAATTGAAACAATTGATGATTCATGGTTAATTAAACGAAAATATAATGATTTACATGGAAGAGAACATATTGAATATCATGAAATCGATTATTACTGGAATAAGGTATTTTCGATCGTTCGAGTTAATGGACATCCTAAATATTCAACATTAAGAAAATTGGTTAAGAATGTACTTATCGTGTCCCATGGAAATGCAGATGTCGAACGTGGTTTCAGTACAAACGGAAATATTCTTACTGAAGAACGTACTCTTCTATCAGAAAAATCGATTAATGGTCTTCAGGCTATATATGATGGTGTTGAATATTTAGGTGATGGATCGGTGCACAAAGTAAAGATCGATAATTATTATTGGCGCAATTGATTAAACTTTGTTCTGTTTTCCTTATATCCCCATCAGCATTGATATGCTTCGTGCAGTTCAAAAATCATTTGCATTGTACAAAGAAGAATCTTCTAAAATGAAAGCACTTGCTGCAGCTCAGCAACAAGAAAATGAACAATTTCAAAAAATGGACGTCGAGAAAAAAAAATTATTAGAACAAGAACAAGAACTCATGTTAAAGTATAAAAAAACTTCAGTTGGAAGGTAAAACAGCTCAATTATTACTTGATGAAGGAAATAAACGTATAGAAAATTCTTTACGAAAAGAAGACTTTAAGGATGTACATGCTGCTCATGTATTGAACAAAAGTGGAACCGAAAAAATAAAAGTCATTGACGAAGAGATGACAAAGCTTATGGAAAACGTTGCAATCATTCAACAGAAGCGTGCCCATGCCGAACATGAGCAATCGAGAAAGAAACGTAAGTTAGCTGCAGAACAAGTATTAACAAGAGCCGAAAACACCCATAGTAATTTATAATTAAGTTTATGCTTTTCTACAGTCAGATAATTTATTTTTTGTAATAGTTAGTACTTTGCTTTTCATTTGTTACTTTTTTGTTTTTCGTTTTAAGTGACTGCTTTATCACTTTTTGTTTGAAACTTATAAATATATACTTGTTGAAATTGTGTTAAATGTTTTATTCTATCTTTTCCAGAGTATTTCTGAGCTTGAATTCGCAAAGGATTCCTTTTCTATAAGAGAACAGTAGTCCTCCTATTTTCCTCCTTTTTACATCAGATCCTACCAAAGATTTGCAATAAAAATCCTCCCTATTCCTCCTTTTTTTGAATCTAGCGCTAACATACCAGGTTAAGATATCAGTGCTGCAAAATGATGATTTTCCAAAAAAGTGGAAAAAATCGAATTTTTCGAAACAAATTGTTCTCTACCAGCAGTGAATAGAGATCTTTCGGAATTTCTGTGGTATATTTGTAAGTGACTGAGTCCACTACAAGGCTGGATTTGTTTCGAAAGCTTTCAGGATAGTTTATTAGGGAAGATAAGGTAAAGTACACAATGATCCCTAAAGGGCTTCTAAAACATCGCCGTCTCTGCTTATCAACATCTACAAATCAATATAAAAATTTTGTTTCAACCACATAGAATTATAGAGCGAATAGTTTCCTACAAAATAAAATGTCGCCGAGGTCTCTGCGACGCTTTGTGACTGAACTAGATCAGTTTTCCTGAAAGCATTAGAAAATTCTTTCAAATTTTTTCCCGTACTCCCCCTCAGGAAACGGCCGTAAACCGAAAGATAGTATTTGATTGATCTGTTCATATTTTTGGCATATTGGAGGCATCAATACTCTATTCCAACGGTTCTTTCATCCCTAGCACTTCGGAAACTACTGTCGGGAGTAAAGGGTTAATATAGTCATTCAATGTTCAAATAAAATATGCCTGATGATATTGACTCGGATAGTTGTATATATCCTGATAAAATATGTTGAACATAATTATCATCTGAGAGAAAAAGAAATAGAATAAAATAGTTTCAGGTATTAAATACTATTCTTGTATGCTCCCGTTTCAAAGATCTCTGTTGGTGATAAAATGAAAAATATATTGTGGTATAAGTGCATTTGCGCTCGACATAAAAGTACAAAAGAACATGCAAGTATGTACATGAAAAACCCATCAGAGTAGAATCCATGAGCGCGAACTTTTTAAAGAAAAGACGAATGGAAAATGCATTTTTACATTTATTTTATCAAATATGTCAATTAGATTACAAGAATTTTTATTTTAAGTTAATTAAATCTATTTAACTAGACGAAAAGTTAACGAAGTGAAAATGGTTATGAGTTATAACTATGGTTGAAAGTTATAACTCGAGTTGATAGTTATAACTCGGATTGAAAGTTATAACTGTTTTAACTTCCACAGTGCACACTAAATAAAAATGTGTCGTGTTTATATGTCGTGAATTATTGTGTCGCACACTCCAGCAGAAAAATGTGTCGTGCTCAGAATGTGTCGTATACGAATTTGTCGCGTTCTGTCTGCTGACTATTCGTTCACCGTTTTATTATGCACACATGGTCATATATAAACAACGTGGTTTAACATAGAAAAAAAAATTTCAAATTATTTTTATTTTCTAGATTATTTCTCAATTATTTTTTTTATCGAGAAAATGCCAATCTCGATCTATGATCGTGAGAGGACTACTCTGAAGCGGTCTGATACAAATCAGATCAACTCGAGATAGAACAGATCCCAGGATCTGACCAGCTTGAGTTTTCAGAATAGGAATAATTAAATGGAATTAAATTGAAAAAAAAAACATCGAAATATGATTTTCCAAAAGGACCAATAGAAAATGTGTCGCATGTGTCGTACAAAATGTGTCATGGTCCTGCTGGAGAAAATGTGTCGCAGTGAGCTCCTTGTGTCGCACTTTAATGTGTCGTACAATGTGTCGCAAAACACGACACTTGCGACACATTTTAACTTAGTGTGAGTGGTGTGCGTGTGCATGTGCTGTAGAAGAAGACTAATACCTCACACTTTCATCAACTTATTAAAGTATAAAGTCCAGCATATGAAAAGCACAGAGCACTGCCTTTTTCAGATTTATTTCATTTTGAATATGATGAATGAAGTGAACGGCTTGAAAAGTGTTAGTTCCTTGGTTCAGGACGATCAAGTCAATCGAATTTTGTGGGTTGGTTTTTTTGTACTATGTTCTGTAAGAAGATAAGTGTGAGAATATAAGGACGATAAAAATCCCACACCTACATCCTGACCGATGAAAACTGAAAAAAAGATATTCTGAAAATACTGAGACTATTACTCTTTGATGCATCATATATTATTTAGAAAATACGACATTTAATAAGTTCTTCCTTTGCATTATATAAGCTTTTCTTCTAATACCTAGATATTTCTCTTTGATATCTTTTTGTAGAGAATTTCATGGAGCATCCTTTCTTAGGCAAAATCATCACATATTAATAGAGATAGTACACCAGAAAAATACAAATGAAAAATTATCCATTTATTCTGGACTACCTGATCTTATTAAATATTCATTTTTCGATATCATGAATGCCTTTATTTCTCGTGAAATATTATTCTATCTGATAATTCGAGCCATAATATGAAGTCAAAATTCGTTCAACAGCTAGGAGTATCCCATTGTGATTTAATTACGAACGAATATTGTTGGATTCGTATCACATTTGATAGAATCAGATGATTAGATTCATCATCTGAATCATGTTTCCAGATAGACGTACTACTTACAGATATTCTTATTTGAGCAAATGTGCACCACACAGCAGATTATTAAATCGGCTCCAAGAATATCAGCTATCTATTCAAAAAACAAAATAATTATGCATTTAGTCAAGGACTCAATTGCAAATCTTTCGCAAGCAGTTCAAAATACAGTCGTTTCACCAGTGCGTAGTTATAAACTGTTCACTAATATACGAAAAGAGCGATGTCGTCAATGGACCCATCGTTCCATGTACCAGAGCTACGAGTGAATTTAACAAGTACGATGGCTGAACGAGCGTTAGTGGGTACAATGCCACTGGTCTGGCATAAGAGCAACTTTGATACTCCACCTCGATCAGCAGAAAGCACCGGTCCAAGGCTAATAGTGTTACCAACTTGCTGATTAGCTTGATCCTTGAAAGTCAAGTAAAGAACAGCATTATCATTGTCATTGTTATAACCACCAATCCATGCCGAGACATTGAACTGTGATGCTTGATTATCAATCTGTGTAGGACTGATGATAGTCGTCAAATCGATCGTTTGCCACATTGTAGTAGTTGCTGATACTTGACCATTAAAGTAGCAATTGCCACGATCACTTCGGAATTTGAAATAAAATAATGCAAGAACGTCATGTGACTTCATCCTACCTGGGTCCTGGGCTGCTAGTAAAAACGCTAGCAGCAGTATTACTGTAAGTTACTTGTGAGACTGTACCATTATGGTTCCATCCTGTCGGGGATGTAATGGTCGAGCCTGTCGCACACAAACCTGTCTCTGCATTCCCATTGCTCACCAAATTGACAGGGATGCCTAAATATTAAAAAACGTCGGTATATCCATAAACGAAAAGTATGACAATTTCAAAGAAGTATCGAATTGAGATTGTATCAAACTTAGCCAATGTTCTTGTGACACTGAAGTTCATTTTTAATACAATTCGTTTTTGATTACTAAGAACAAAATCAAGAGAGGGTCAACATTCGTTTGTTGTCCTTTCATGGAAACCAGCATGATTCAACTCATGAATCAACGTTAGGTTCATGATGGAAACTATTTTATTGTAACTTAAACGGATGAATCATGTTCGGGACAAGTACCACTTTCAAAACCAAACCAATCAATTAAAAATATAACGCGCACATCGAGTGTAGACATAGAATACTCAATTCTTAAGATGTTTACAGTCTCAGTACACAATGAAAATGATAGGAGGACGATTCCCATCCAATATTTTATTTAATCATTGGACTCATGAGAGAGTGAGTTTTCACAATCTCGTCGAATTCTATCAACCAGACTACAGGATTACACTAGCATCAGCTTCTTCGGTAATTTTACAAATTGCAAATGAAAAAAATGCACCTTGATGATGATCTGGGTGTGAACAAAAGACTACAATCATACTCATCCTCGGAGGAAAAGGGCCGTTTATCGCATTTTATTGCATGATTTTAGCTTCGATATATCACTATTAACTGACCAAGTTTTTTTTTGATTTCTACTATATAACTAATATCTATATTCAAATGACGACAAAAATAGGCTCATTTCTTGCACACCACCTTAATTAAGAGGGGGTCTTCTTTGCACTGCAATGCACAGTTCAAATAAAGTCTTTTCTGTCTTTTCCCCGTACTAATAGGGTACCGCTATCTCCATTATAATCTATACTTCAAGAAATATTCTTGACGGAGGAAAGTATTCTTTTTATTTTTCCAATTTTGCCCTGAGTACATCTTA